GCCCAACAGCGAGTGGCACAACCTGGGTGTCTGACTTAAGGCAGGTGTGATGATTGACGTGCAAGAAGTACACAGGTCTGATTCCCGTCCAAATCCCCGAATAACAAGCCAAATCTGGCAGCCATACGCGGTCCAGAGTCGGCTCAAATTTGGTTTTTCAGTGTGAGAGGACATCTGAGTTTCACAATCAGACAGACTCAGCTGGATAGTCAGACGACATGTTGGCTGGTAGCTTGGTCTCATTAGTGGTGAATGATCTGCTGGTCAGTAAGAATCAGTCTGTGGGTCAGTCAGCAATGTGCTGTGGGTCTGTCGCATCCAGTTCTGTGGGTCAGTGGTCGTGTCACAGGTGCAGACTGATCTTGGCCCTCGCTTGGCGATTGGTGGATGACCTGCGTTTCGAAGTCGCACTGTTGGACAGCGCGGTCTTCCTGAAGCTCCGGCATATGCGATTCTCCTCCCCAGTTAGTGGTGCCAGTTCCCGCTGCTTTGTCGGCCCCATAACCGAACACAGACCACCTTGAATCACAGAGCAGGAGCGATGCATGGCACACCCACAATGGCAAATACTGTGACACATACTGGTACTTTGATATATGAGGATTGATGATGATCTTTATCTTTCTGTTCCTGATGATGCATTTAAGAGCCCATTGCTTTGGAAATATCCCCCTATCAAGAGTATCCCTGAGGCACACGAGGTGCCAGGGAGCAAAAATAATCAATGGATATAAAAATAAATGTTAATTTGGTCTCTGAATGCACCAATAGGACAAGTTTTCTCAACAGTCTTCTGCCTCTGCTGCATTACTACAGGAATATGGTGACAACTGAAGCTTGACAGAAAATTTAACTTGACTTAACATGTATGTGTTAGAGGTGAACCAAAACAGACTCGCCCGCCGACTCCGCCTCCCCTACCTGGTCACAGCGTGAAGAGGCGAAGATGATGGCCAGCCATGCAGGGTACGGGTAGCGAGCCGTGACGCTCGGTCCCAGCCCCCGACATTAACATAATTAAGAACACGGGTTTCAGACACCAGGACCTACACACACACCACACACACACCACACAACCACACACACAACACACACACAGCACACACACACACGTGATTATCGCATGGGTAACATGTTTTAATTATGTGAGTTATGATGAGTACATAAATAATCGGAAAAGATTTTTCTTTTTC